TAATATTTACTTTTTTCCGTAAAAATATGGAATAATAACAACTATTTTAGATTTACTACTATATCTGATACTATCTTATAAAATATATTAAAATCTAAGGGAAAATTCCTTTCTGTTTCAAAAATAAGGCGGAACAATAATATAATTTTTGATTTACAATAGATAGACATGCATGGTATCCATATGCGTCATGTCACGCTGATCCATATTTTTTTCCAAAACTCGATTTAATTGCTATTATGTGCAAAAATCACCGCCGTTCACGTTCATGTTCTCGGTTTATCATCCCACCAAGAACATCCGGTTACTTGAAGAACCTGATACCCTAACATCAAATGAATCTCTAGACATTTCTACATATCGTTTACGTACCAGTTTGTGATCTTAATTTTTGTATCTTGTTACCACCATCTCATGTTAGCTTCGTGACCATCTACTTGGCTTGATAATACCTTTCGACGGCAAAAGATTCATATTTATGTGCAAAAATCACCGCCGTTCACGTTCATGTTCACGTTAGCACTCCATACCTTAATTCACATGTAAACCTCTCTGCCTATCTCTGACTTCAGGTCTCTCATCTTCGAGTCTCCCCAAGAAAGTTTTGACACCACACCAACATTTCATTCGTCAAAATTAAATCGAGTTTGCACAAGGTTACAACCGATTAATAGGTGGTCTTCTACCTTCTATTTACGATTTTATGCTATGAATATATGTTTTTGTCAGGATTCAAGTCAATCTCCGGATTAGAGACTTATAATCATCCGACGAACAATACGATGGCGTGATAACCGTTTCTAAATTGGTGGGTTCTCTTTCATTGATCTACATATTATTTTTTTTGTTCGTTTTTTTTTTCCAAATATTTAGATTGAAACGACGACGAACACGACGATCATACCAAAAATTTCATCTATTCCGGTACGTTTGATCTTTATTTTAATTAGTTTAACAATTAATAGCCGTTTACGATTAATTTCGGATATCTAAATCTTATTAATTTGAGTAAGGTTAGAATAGTATTCTTTTATGTTTATATTAATGCTCCGATTAATAATTTTTGGATATTTGACATTATCATCTTAAATATATTAATATTATAATAAATATTTTCCTGGTTAATTATCATGTTTATTGTTTCCAAAATTATTTTTTCCTGGTTAATTCCGAAATTCAATTTAATTTTTCCAAAATTAATTAGATTTCATTAAAGGTAATTAAGTAATTACGTAAAATCAAGTACTCAACAAGAGCCGAGAGTCCGACACGTCAGCAAAAACACTTCTCAAATATTATTATATATAGATTATGTAGGAGTATTATTTTGTAGTAATCATGTGGTTCCACCATTTTTCGTAGATGTATGAAATAATTTGAACAAAAACTTAAAAATATTAGTTTTGTTATCGTAAAATTGATATATTAATTAAATTTATGGTGTTAGCATCTTTATATCATTTGTGACAACTAAATAATACAAAAATATTTGCATTATTTATCATTTATAAATTTTAAATAAAACAAAAAATTTATATAACAAACTACAAGAATTTTTTTAAACTTGTTTGTTAAATATCTAATTTTTTATTTTCTCTTAGGACACTATAAATGTTTGGACCGGTCCTGCTTGGGCACTTTTATGGCTTCTAAGATGGTAAACCCAAAATCTTCTTCTTTTTTTGTATGAATGAAAAATTTGTTTATAAAAAAACTATGACTAAAATGTATGCATCCTTAAGAGAGATTTTTAATTAAAGAGAACAGATGATCTTTAAATTAGTAAAACAAAGCTAAGAAGTATAACGGCCAAGAATTGCAGACTTCAAATCCTTGCTCGAAACCATTCACAATTATCCAATTTAGTTACCTATAAACAAATATATGAACGAATATTGGATAATATAAGGAATTAATTTTTTTTTAAAAAATAATAATAATATAAGGAATTAAACGTAGCATAACATAATGACTGAATTTCTATACTTACAGAAGCAGTGGCGGATCTTGAGATGGACCAGGGAAGGGGAAAACTCGGATAAAGGAGAACAATGGTACTACCTTAAAATGCATAATTCTTGACATGACAGGTAACTTGTGTTCTTTGAGCTATGTTCAAGAGTTTGTTTTAACCCGTCTCTTTGCTCATGCTTTCTTTCTGTGGAATTATTTCAGCTGTGTCGGCGATAGACACAAGCGGGCTTGAAGCGGTGTTTGCACTTAGGAGGAGGCTCGAGAAGCAATCACTTCAGGTTAGAATTTTTACTGAAAACAAAGATCAATATATACCTATCAAAAAGAAAAACACACTCTTAAGTTTTGTCACTCTCTTTTTCAAATAGCTTGCACTGGTGAATCCTGTGGGGACTGATGGAAAAGCTACACAAGTCCAAGATCAAAAGCCTATGCAAAGCTTTGATCTTCTCTATAGGTATTTTCTAGCATCACTGTTGGAGTGATCTCAGTGATGAAACTCTAGAACCATTTGCCTCTTGTCAAAATTTACACAAAGGTTTAATATTGGCTACAGATAAGAGATTAGAGTTGTATGATAAGAGAAGCAAGCGTTGGTCACTATAACCTTGTCTCTTCAAGAACTGGTACTGCTCTTTCTCCTCCTGACAACTTTCTTCACAGTAACTTTGTTGTCGCTCTTCTCTTTGTCGTCTGTACTATTCACAGCTTTTACAGAACTTGGTTGGCTTCTCATGCGCAGTATCTCACCCTTTGCAGAGCCCAAGTCTTCCTCGAGCTTTTTCACTTTCTTCTCTAGCACTTCCCTCTCTTTTCCTAGACTCATCACCAGGATATGTGCATCTTCCACATTTTCCTTAGCTTCTTTTGATGCATTCTTTGCCTCTCCTAGTGATCTGAA